GTTGAATTCGAAACCGCAGTTTGTGATATGGGTTCTGCAACAATCATAAATAAATTATATTAGAGCTTATTCAGAATAACTAATGTTTATTTAACAATGTATTGCATAACTACTCACATTGTTTTGTTTTTTCCAGTGTATCTATGAAAAAATAGAACTCTGCATCATTAACAACAGGTAGAAGGTTGGTTGGCCGATTCTTTGGTTTGCTAAGTAACATAACGGCTAACTGTTCCTCTTGCTCGGATGGGACATGTTTCATTTTCTTCTCTGGGGTTGAAGAGTCACTTAGATACACTGGATCGCTGGCCCCTTCCTCTGTTTCCTTGCTCACATTATCAGAATCGATCAAATCTACAGCCTGTTACAAAAGCCATGTAAAATGCTAAGATACTACTGGCAAATACAATTATTATTTCAAAGAAAAAATGGACTATGGGGCTCTTACTACAACTTCTTTACCATCGTCCCTCTCTACAACAATACCTCGACCATCTGTTTACTTACTTTGTAAATACAGTTGATATATGTCTAATTTACCTCTGTCACATCTTCACTCTCTTTAGGCACCTTCTCAACATTGTCTTCATTTGATAGACACTCTCCACCATCATGTATCAGTTAACAAACCATAAAATCATTTATGCCAAGCTAAGATAATTTACTTTACCTCTAATTCACTTTTTTCTCACCTTCTTCTTTTCTGGGACTGTTACTACGTCTTCTTTAACATCCTCCCTCTCTACAACAATATCTCGACCATCGTTTCCCTACATATACAGTTTTCTTTAATCCTCCCAATATGTTTACTTAATTTGTAAATACAGTTGATTGTCTCATTTACCTCTGTCATATCTTCACTCTCTTTAGGCACCTTCTCAACATTGTCTTCACCACCGATTCTCACCTTCTTCTTTTCTGGAACTTTTACTATACATCCTCTCCTCTCTCCACCATTACCTTAGTAATTTCTTCACCATCCATCCTCTCTAAAACAATGTCTCTTCCCTCGTTTCCCTACAAATACAAACATTCTTACTTTGTGTTTCAGAAATATACTAAATACAGTTCTTTTACATCGTAAATACAGTTTCTATGTAGATTACCTCTATTATAACTTCTCTTCCTTCAGCCACCTTGTCTCACCACCATCCTTTATCTGTTAAGAAAGAAAAAAAATTAAAGACATGGATTCCTCAAGTGCAAAGCAATGCTTATTAGTTCATGGATATAATATGGTGGACGAGGATCGCGTGGTTAATCTATTATCATGCATTTCATCAGTATGGTGGAACAATCTATTATCATTTTACTTTACATTAACCTATGTCCCTACATCCACGAGATAGTTGTGGAGTTTCTCTTCCTCATCAGCAAATAAAGGGGGACCTGGCTCAATCACATCATCCACATCCACACGCTCACGTGGACATACTACCTCATCCAACGGTACAAGCCTGACCACGTTACTCTGACCACATGGGGGCATACTTTCTCTGTCTACCTCCCTATAATTGTCTTCTCCATGCTCTGAAAACTGTTTTACAACATTTCTTTAAATCCACAATACAATCAAATATAATAGTTTTTCATGTGGATGTAAAATAAACATGGTGTGGATTACCTCAACACTCCGTTCACCTTTGCTTTCTCGCTGCCCACAATTAATTTCCTTCATAGAACACAAATTCACATCACTCGAACATGCTCCTCTTAATACACATATAACTAAACAAAATCTGTTTTATTACACACTTACCTCTCCTGATTCAGAATGATTGCTCGCCTCATTTTCTCCTTTCGCTCTGTCATGCATTTCATCCTTCTTGAAGTCATCTAAAACACCAAGCGTCGCACCATATTTCATCCAATCTTCAGCATCACTGCTCAGGCTAGGTGTTCCAAGATGAATTGGTGAGTTATTCATTTTCTTTCTACTCTTAGGTATTTCCTTCACCTTCCTTGTCGACATCCTCTGAAACTTTTTTCCTACACTACCTTCAAGGCTTTACTTTTCTTTCGCCTTTCTATGCGGGACATCCGCATCTCAAGTATTGCCTGTGCTTCTCTTAGTTCCCGAATTTGTTTCATCAACCCCGTTGTAGAACTTTCAGCCGTTTCACCCGCATCATTTGCTCCATAGAAGTAATCATCCACTTTACGTTGTTTTCTCTTTGAAGAGTATTTGCTATTCTTCTTCCTCTTCTTATTTGCTCCTACACTGAAACTTTCTTTTTCCTTCCCCTTATCTTTTCTGTTGGTGTTTTGCCTGGTCCCAATGTGCTTAATATGGTTTGCTGATGGTTGTTG